CTTCACAGCCGGGTACCCACTGTTCATGCGTGAGTAGCACTGCGCTTCATGAATGGTCCTGTAGTCTTCTGGGACCTGTCACGTGTCCAAAAGACTACAGGGAGGGAGGACACCTTCCGTTTCCGACTGCCTAGGCGATCGGACCAGAAGCGCTCCCCCCTGCCCCCCAAAGGTGCCAATCCTTAATGGGGAGCAGTCCTTTTAAAGCGAAACTTCCCCTTTTGGGTGGAGCTCCGCTTTAACATTACTTTTCATTTTTTTTTGTATCTCCTTTCTCAGACTGTTATGGTTTTATATAGTTAATTTTCAACTGTACATAACTTGTTTATATTCTACTATAATCTGCAAATAACTATAGCAACATTCAATTCAGATTTGTAATGCGCATTGTTTCATGCTGCAGTGTTTTTGTTTGGTATATTTCTTATATTATTTTCTATAATAATAATGTAATGTTAAAAAAGACAATTGGAGAAGTCAGAAGTCTTCACACTTGTTCAACGTCAGTGACTGAGAGTACTGAAACTAGAGGGTCAGTATGACGGCAGTCTCCATATTCCATGTTATCACTTTCATTGTTCTATTGATTGGCTTTCTTAATGTGAAACAGTGGGGCTCAACTTGAGATTATAAGAGGAACCCAGAGCACTTCCAGGGGGGCAACACGATAGCAGTGCAATTTTGTGCTTGAGGTGCATTGAATCAGGCTAGGCAAGCCCATTCAAGATGAATGGGCTATAATGCACCTTACCGGACAAAAAATTTGATCCTGCTGCATATTTTTTGTTATTTGATGCAGTAATTGGTGTCAAATGGTATAATAATAACCCCCAGCATTGGTGTCAAATGATATAATAATAACCCCCAGCATTGGTGTCAAATGATATAATAAACCCCCCCTGCATTGGTGTCAAATGATATAATAATAACCCCCAGCATTGGTGTCAAATGATATAATAATAACCCCCAGCATTGGTGTCAAATGATATAATAATAACCCCCAGCATTGGTGTCAAATGATATAAGAATAACCCCCAGCATTGGTGTCAGTGGACACATCAATAACCTCTTGTTTTGGTGTCAGTGGATGCATTAATAACCTTCAGGACTGGTTTCAGTGGACGCAATATTAATCCCCAGCATTGGTATCATAGGCATATTAACAGCATTCAGGTGCCTAGACTGCAGAGAGTGTTTTGGCACGCCGCATCCTACTGCCGCTCTGATCTCCAGCAGGTGGTGGACCGGGTGTTTTATTTTTTATAATGTATATTGTATGGCTTTACAGCTTCATTTGCCTAATAAAATGTACATTACAAGGGTGTCAGTTTGGGCACTTACAAGTGGCATATCCTGGAATTCCCCTTTAACTGTAGCTGTTGTTTCTCTATGTTGACTGTATCCAGGTGAGATTGAGGAAGTTGTTGAAGCCAACAACCATGAAGAGATAGTGAGCGAAGAGCCAGAGACAAAGGAAGATGAAACAGAACACCCTACGGATGCGGCAGAACCAGAGATGGGTATGTTGAGAGGGGAACAGTGAATGTCCTCTTCCTTATTACTCAGGTGACACGTGTGTTGTAGTCCTGATAATGAGCCACTCTGTCAATGCTCATCTTGTGTTACCCACTTCAGGTGATCAGTTATGTAAAGAGATACAGTAGCCTACACATATGTCCAGCGTTTTATGGCTCTTTTTATACGACAATTATTTTGGGAAACATAATAGATTTATATAGCTGCATACAATGCGAATCTCGCTCATCAGAGTGCATGAGATCTGTTGAATGTAGAATTATTATATTTATTGGTAGAATAAAATCCACAGTAACAACGTTTTGGTAAAAAAAAATGTAAGACCGCCAGTGAAAAGGCTTTATTAAGCAAAAAAAAAAAAAGAGAAAATCGGAACAAAAAGTGGAGCTGCTGCAACCAATCAGGTGGCTTGATAAAATGTAAAAAAAATCTGACTGATCAGCAAATTTTATTTCAGTTTTTTTTACCACTTTTATCTTTTTTTTAACAGCCCAGCAATTTAAAAAAGCAGAATCAGAACTCTAAGGCTCATGTCAGATGGCCAACTCTGGTGCTAGTGATCCTGCCTCTGGCTATAGCCTGCAGTGCTGATCAGTGGATTCTGATGATGGGGAAGTCTCCTCACTGTCAGAATACAATAGCCCACAGGGCAGATTCCCCCATCGACATCAAATTTGTGGATGGGGGAATTGGGTTAGTTTTTTTTTTCGTTTAACCCACAGGTTGAAAAAAAAAAGACTGACTCATCTTTGCCAGCTTTAGTATGCCGTATGTAAACAAGGCTCAAATGCTTCTCATACTCAAAAGCACCAGTTAATGTGGACGGTTGTGATGGAGAAAGAAACAGTAAGGGAGTGCAGAAAAGGTGAGTATATAGGGGAGGGCTCTCTGCAGAGACCTGTTCAGTTTGCTCTGCATGGGCAAGGTGGCATGGTCTCTTTAAAATCAGGCTAATGGTACAAGTGGCTATAACGACAACTAAAATTAGAGCCATAGGGAAGCCCATGGTTGTCTGTCACAGCTACAGTGGTACTTGTAATGCACTGGGCCTGGGTGGATCTAGTGTTTAGCCAACACACCAAAAATTAGGAGGTTGGGTTCACCCTGAACCAGGCTGTATTCTTTACTGCACCATAGCCTGCAGTGAGATCCTGACACCAGAGATGTAACTAGAACCTTCAGGGCCCTGGTGCAAGAAACCCAAAAGGCCCCCCCCAAGAGTTCCCCCACAATGGTGGAACATCAGTGCCTGGTCACAAGTGCAACCTTTGTGATCCTATTAGGTCCGCCACTGGTGTCAGTTTTTTTTTTTTTTTTACCATGTATTCATTTATTTTTACCATTATTGTTTATTATTACTTTAGTTTTTTTAGGAGCCCTGTTGAGGGGCTTTGGTGAAATATCATTGGTCTAAATGGACCTCTGACTGAGAAAGGAGATTGAGAACACAGCCATCAACCTCCATGTCTGCAGCCTTAACTGCACAGAATGAATGGTCAGGAATAGCTCTGTACAGAGCTTCCCGTTCATTCACAAATAGAGATGAGCGAAGTATTCAAAAATTTGATTCGGCTGATTCGGCGAATTCGAGGAATAAATTCGATTCGATGCGAATATATTCGCTGCGAGTTTAACTTATAAAAAGGGTTTCTAGGCTTCAGAGAGCCTTTATATTAGTGCAGAACACTGTACCTTTAATTTAAATGCCCTTGGAGTCTGCTGGGGAAGAGAAATAATACTGTCAGTCAGTATGACATGCAGATGAGTGCCGTCGATCTTAGAATCACCGCACACTTCACTCATTTGGGCAGTCACGGGGCCAAAACCAGAGTGTGGAGCCACAGTGTGGCGGTGGAGGCAGCAGCAATGGGAGGCCATACAGCACCCTATGACAAAAATGGAACCCACCAGCAGTGTGAGGAGACCTGAAAGTGGCACATGGCAGAGTGTGGCGATGAAGACAGCAGCAATGGGAGGCCGTACAGGGACCCATGAGACACTCTGGACCTGGCAGCAGCATGAGGAGGCGGTACGGGGGCCCATGGCAGATTACGGGCCTGGCAGCAGCAATGGGAGGCCCGTAATCTGCCAGCAGCAATGGGAGGCCGTACAGGGACCCATGAGAGACTCTGGACCTGGCAGCAGCATGAGGAGGCGGTACAGGGGCCCATGGCAGAGTGGCGAAGCGTAAGCAGCTTAAATTGAAGGCCATACAGAGGCCTATGTTATAAATAATAACATGTTTGGGGCATGATTCATGGCAGATTTAGTCAGTTGTGTCAGGAACTGGTGGTTTGAAATCCAGACTAATCCACGCCTGATTCATTTTCACAAACGTGAGTCTCTCCACACTTTGGGTGGACAGTCGTGTCCTCCGCGGAGTTACAATACCTCCTGCCGCACTAAACACGCGCTCCGATGCCACGCTACTGGCCGGGCATGACAGCCTTTCAAGGGCAAATTTAGCTAGTTGGGGCCAAAGGTCAAGTTTCGTTGCCCAGTAGTCAAGGGGATTGTCTACCTCGGTTGGCATGGTGCTGTCCAAGTAGGCCCGAGCCTGTTGTTTGAGGTCCTGCTCCAGGTCCACCTGATGCTGCTGCGGCTGGTTAGTAGTTTCCTCACTGCGCTGGTGAAGAAAGCTACTCATCATCGACTGCAGACTGAGGCAGCTGCTGCTGGTGGAGCTGCCACTGCTCCTACCACCCCACCCCTCCCCTGCTGCCATGGCAGCGGAACGCGAGCGCACAGGGCCCACAGTGTCTGAGGATGGACGTTGGCGCAGAAAGGCAGAGACCAACTGACTACATAGGTGGTTTTTATAGTACGTTATTTTGGCCTCCCTCTCAGCAGGTGTGAAAAAGGCCACCATTTTTGAACGGTAGCGAGGGTCCAACAAGGTGGACAGCCAAAAGTCATCCCTCTGTCTGATGGTTATTATTCGGCTGTCGCTACGCAAGCAACCGAGCATGCTATGGGCCATTTGTGCCAAGGAATGCGAGGGACTCCCTGCCTCCATCTCCACAGTATACTGCCACGGTGCGTCTGGGTCCTCTGTCTCCTCCTCCTCCTCTACCAGATGCTCCTGCTCCTCCACTCCTGTCCGCTGAGTGGAAAAACCACCCATTTCACTCAATAATTCCTGAGCACCAATGTCCTCCTCTACCTCCTCCTCTTCTTCCTGTCCTGCCCCCACAGGGGTCATGTGGCGTTGAGATCTGTGCGCCACGTCTACCGCACCCTGACCAGCCATTGTTAACAGCATTTGTTCCAGGATGTGCAACAGAGGAATGACGTCGTTCATCCCATAGTCCTGCCGACTCACGAATAGCGTGGCCTCCTCAAAGGGCCTGAGCAAGCGGCAGGTGTCACGCATGAGCTGCCAATGGCTGACATCTAAGTTACACAGGGGAGTACCTTTATCCGCTTGTAACATCAGGAAATCGGTGATGGCCTTTCGCTGTTCGTAAAGGCGGTTAACATATGTAGGGTTGAATTCCACCTTGATGCAATGTCACAGCATGAAGAGTCGGTACGGGGGCCCATGGCAGATTACGGGCCTGGCAGCAGCAATGGGAGGCCCGTAATCTGCCAGCACCCTATGACAAAATGGAACACACCAGCAGTGTGAGGAGACCTGAAAGTGGCACATGGCAGAGTGTGGCGATGGAGACAGCAGCAATGGGAGGCCGTACAGGGACCCATGAGAGACTCTGGACCTGGCAGCAGCATGAGGAGGCGGTACAGGGGCCCATGGCAGATTACAGGCCTGGCAGCAGCATGAGGAGTCGGTACGGGGGCCCATGGCAGATTACGGGCCTGGCAGATGACGACGAGGCTGCCAAGTGCGATCAGCCTCATCATCATCAATTAGGGTCTCCGCCTCACTACTAGCCCCCTCGGCTGCGTGTGGGTCAGGAGACAGACCTGTCTCTAGACCGGCTACCGAGCCACTCTCCTCGCCAGTACTTCTTCGCCTGGCTGCTGAAGAGGTGGATGTCTCCCCCCGTTCCTGACCGCCCTCTGTTAGCTCTTCCTCACTGTACAGTGGGGCTGAGCCCACAGCATGCGATACATCGCTTGGTGAGGGAACACCAAAGGACAGGGGCAGGTAGAGGACACGTGATTTCAGTGGGCTTGCTCTCGGGCCATGCCAACTAACGGTTGTGTCTGACGTACCCACCGACCGTTGGCTGTAGGTGTCAGAGGTGACCTGGGAAGAGGAAGATGACCGAGCCAACCAATCGATGATGGCAGGGTTGTCGGTGGAGACACGACCGCTGGATGACACCGGGAGCACTGGCCTCTGGCTGCGACTAGTGCTGCCTCGACCCCTTCCTCTGCTGCCACGTCTGCTCGCTCCTAAAAAACATTGCCTCCTCTGCCACTCCTCTGCATGTTGTCTGACATACTCTTTAATTCAACGATTCTGTGTCCCTGAGTAACAATTCTGTGTCCCTGAGTAACAATTCTGTGTCTGTCCTTGAGTAACAATTGTGTGTCCCTGAGTAACAATTCTGTGTCCCTGAGTAACAATTCTGTGTCCCTCAGTAACAATTCTGTGTCCCTCAGTAACAATTCTGTGTCTGTCCCTGAGTAACAATTCTGTGTCCCTCAGTAACAATTCTGTGTCTGTCCCTCAGTAACAATTCTGTGTCTGTCCCTCAGTAACAATTCTGTGTCTGTCCCTGAGTAACAATTCTGTGTCCCCGAGTAACAATTCTGTGTCCCCGAGTAACAATTCTGTGTCCCTCAGTAACAATTCTGTGTCCCTCAGTAACAATTCTGTGTCTGTCCCTGAGTAACAATTCTGTGTCTGTCCCTGAGTAACAATTCTGTGTCCCTCAGTAACAATTCTGTGTCCCTCAGTAACAATTCTGTGTCTGTCCCTCAGTAACAATTCTGTGTCTGTCCCTCAGTAACAATTCTGTGTCCCTGAGTAACAATTCTGTGTCCCTGAGTAACAATTCTGTGTCCCTGAGTAACAATTCTGTGTCCCTCAGTAACAATTCTGTGTCTGTCCCTGAGTAACAATTCTGTGTCCCTCAGTAACAATTCTGTGTCCCTCAGTAACAATTCTGTCTGTCCCTGAGTAACAATTCTGTCTGTCCCTGGGTAACAATTCTGTGTCCCTGAGTAACAATTCTGTGTCCCTCAGTAACAATTCTGTGTCTGTCCCTGAGTAACAATTCTGTGTCCCTGAGTAACAATTCTGTGTCCCTCAGTAACGATTCTGTGTCCCTGAGTAACAATTCTGTGTCTGTCCCTGAGTAACAATTCTGTGTCCCTCAGTAACAATTCTGTGTCTGTCCCTGAGTAACAATTCTGTGTCCCTCAGTAACAATTCTGTGTCCCTCAGTAACAATTCTGTGTCTGTCCCTCAGTAACAATTCTGTGTCTGTCCCTCAGTAACAATTCTGTGTCTGTCCCTCAGTAACAATTCTGTGTCTGTCCCTCAGTAACAATTCTGTGTCCCTCAGTAACAATTCTGTGTCTGTCCCTCAGTAACAATTCTGTGTCTGTCCCTCAGTAACAATTCTGTGTCTGTCCCTGAGTAACAATTCTGTGTCTGTCCCTGAGTAACAATTCTGTGTCCCTCAGTAACAATTCTGTGTCTGTCCCTGAGTAACAATTCTGTGTCTGTCCGAGTAACAATTCTGTGTCTGTCCCTGAGTAACAATTCTGTGTCTGTCCCTGAGTAACGGTTCTGTGTCCCTAAGTAACGGTTCTGTGTCCCTAATACAGAGAGATCTGTCTCTCTTGAATGACCAGAGGCAAATGGAGAATTGTAAGATGGCCGCAATTTATAGCTCCACCATTACACAGTGCTGGCTGGCTGGCTGCTGATTGGCTAATGCGATCACGTCATGAATGAATGCATTATGGGTCAGCGCGCCTTGTCTGCGCGCCTTCCCAGAGATCCCTGCTCCGTCGCCGCACATGTCGCCGCCATTTTTGGAAATTTTTCTAATATTCGAAACGAATTCCACTTCGCCGAGTTCGATTCGCTCATCTCTATTCACAAACTGAAGCATAACATTTTACTATGCCTCAGTTATGAACGAAGAGAATCAGTGACTGGTAAGGATCACAGACTATTCATCAGTCCCCTGCAGCCGTCGGCGGGAGAGGGGAGCCCAGCAGCGCCGCGGGGGTTTGAGGGTGGGGGGGTAACGGAGGAATACACAGGAGCCTGAGGCAGCAGAAGGTAAATAGGAGGGGCAGCTGCAGGAGGAAAATGGCGGAGATTGGTTCTTCAGTATGTTGCCGCTCCTCCTATCCAGATGTACAGGGGGCTGTACAGGCTCCCTGGAGCATGGGATTGGGTCGCAATTGCGACCCCCTGTACATATACCCCGGCCTGACACCGCGATAATTTCTGTCATAAAGTTTAGGAATGAATATGTACGTCCTGTATATTGGAACATATTTGGTATAACCAAAAAGAACAATAATATTTTATTGTTAAATTATAATAAATTATTATCAGATATTTATCCTTCCGTCCCCATCATCGGTGGAGATCTTTAATACATAATTGTAATAGCTAATGATGGCACAGGAAGACATTAATAGATGTGTTGTAGGTAGAGGTGTGGATAAATATTTGACAATAATATTTTATTATATTTTAAATGGTTAGTAATACAATTAAAAAAAATTGTAATTGATATAGATATAATATATTTATTTATTTAGTATCTTAATGGTCCATGCACACTGGCTAGAAAACACCAGTGCTCTTGGCAGAAAAAAACGCTAAATTTGAAGTTTCTTTCTGCTAGAAAACCACTCTCAAAAACACAAAACAAAAGGGTTTTTTTTTTTTCTGCCTCTTAACTGCTGAGCTTAAAAAACACCTCTAGCTTACCTTGTGCATGAACACATAGGATACCATTAGTTGCTTCTACAGGCAAAATGCTAAACTCCTCTAGGAGCAGTGATTTTTTTTTTTTTTTTTTTTTCCTTTAAGCCAGTGTGTATGGAGCCTTAAAGACCCACCTGTTGTTCTGTTTGGTTTCACACTACATTAGGGATGTGGTGCAAATAATAAATATCCAACATCGACATTTGTCATATAAACACTTAGAAATAGGTATACATTCGGATTATGAATTTTTTTACTATTATGTTTTTCTTCCTCAGATACGGCAGATGTAGAAGAATAAACATTCTCTCTGATATACATGATTTGGACTATTTTGTACAGTTTTCAGAGTATTTTTGAAGAATGTAGATATGTACGTTGTGTGATGGTAAAAACCTTGAGAATTCACTACCTGTTCCAAGCCACATTGCCAAGACTTCAGCCACTGATGCAGGTTTTCTGTGTCGCTACAATTCTGTGCCTTACGTACCATCTCAGCCCAGCAAAATGACATAACGTTTTAGTATGTGATAAGTGTTCATGTCTCTGCAGTACTAATGGGAAGAAGTCATCCTCCCAGATAAGGTGACATGTCGCTCCCTTGTAGTCTTCAGCAGTAACGGTCACATCCCAATATGTATAAATGCTACTGTATATTGTCGGTTGTTTTCTAGTAATAAAATCTAAAAATCGATGCAAATGGTGCCTGCTATGTTTCTCATAAAATTCTTACATTCATTTACCGGCAAACTAACTGGGTTATCATGTGATCACTATGACTGGTCATAGCAATCATGTGTTAACAATGTAAGCAACCTGACATCAATTTATTTTTTTACTTTTATTTCAGGTACTTGTATAGCGCCATCAATTTACGCAGCGCTTTACATATATATTGTACATTCACATCAGTCCCTAACCCTCAAGGGGTGTACAATATAAGGTCCCTAACTCACATTCATACATACACATACTAGAGCCAATGTAGTCAGGAGCCAATTAATCTACCAGCATGTCTTTGGAGTGTGGGAGGAAACTGGAGTACCCAGAGGAAACCCACGCAGGCAACGGGAGAACATTCAAACTCCAGGCAGGTGATGCCGTGGTTGAGATTCGAACCAACGACCCTAGTACTGCCAGGTGGAAGTGCTAACCACTTAGCCACTGTGCTGCCCGTGTGGCTTTCCATTCACGAACAGCTTGCCTATTTTTGTGATCCGTGACTGGTCCAAAGCAATTACATGCTACCTGTACCATGTGATTAGCTTAGTCAATCACAGATCACAACCAAAAGCAAGTGGCTCATGAATGGTTAACCCATTCATAACAGTTAGAATATTGCTTATACAGCAATCACTGTAAAAGCAAAAAACAGTGTAAAAAAAAAAAATAATTGTTCACCCCCTCAGAGTAGTGCAGTGCCACTATGGTGACAGGGAGCTACCCTGGTAACAGGATAAAAAAAAAAAAGGTTTAAAAGGAAAAAGGTTTTAAGAATCGAATACAATTTTGTTCTTTTATTTTTTTTACATACTAGCACCAGTCAGTGTCCCCGATTACCGCCACACCAGTTATATGATGACACTGCACTATTGACAGTATATATATATATATATATATTATATATTAGTGAAAAAAAAAAGCACTTCCTTTAGGAATATTCTTCCATATTTATCATCATCTGGGTTAGGGAAAAAAAAAAACTGTCAAGAGTTAACCGTTAAAGGTGTCAGCCCATTTTATCATGGAGGAATTGCACCATTTGGGACCAGTAATCATGAATAATGGGACAGTCCCACATCATATGAGAAAAAGGCTCCCCTGGGATCCAAGTATCCAGGACACTGAGCAGAACGGGATGGGCAATATCTGGCTAAGTGTAATGGGGTCAGGTTTGCTCTGTGGACAATGTATAACTGTGTGAGAGGGTCTGCAATTTTGGGGGATACCTGTTTACAGACCTCCAACATCTCTGCCCAGTCTCCATCCTCCACTCCCCAACAATTTAAAAAAAAAACAATCTTGATAAAAAAAAAAAATTACAACTCGCTACACCTCCTACTCAATGCCTCAGTCCTGTCTACTTTCCAAAAAGGGATCATTTGGGGGGTATTTGTGCTGTCCTGGGATTCGGGGGGCCTCAAAAATGAGAGGCAGTCAGTACATGAGGATTGATCAATTTTCAAATAATATATATATTTGATTTTATTGGATATGTTTTATAACAAAAAGTTGAAAATATATATTTTTTTCAAAAATGCAGTTTTTTTTTTTTCGTGTATATAATCAAAAATAAAAAAGCCAGTGATGATCAAATGCCACCAAATGAAAGCTCTATTAGTGTGAAAAAAATGTATAAATATCATTTGTGTTCAGCGTTGCATGTGTTACATGACCATGCAATTGCCAGTTAAATTAACAGTGCTGAATAGCAAAACAATTCACTGGTCATGAAGGTTAACATGTATTTATTATTTATTTTCTTCTTATACACTAACAAATGTGCAAACATATAAAATGTTTTCTATTTTAATTTTTAATATTGTAATTGTATCTGACAATTATGGTATTAAAGTGGTTCTAAAGTCTTAGGGTTCTTTTTACCTTTATGCATTCTATGCATTAAGGTAAAAGACCTTCTGTGCTGCATATGTCCCCCCCCCCCCTCATTATACTTACCTGAGCCCAATCCAGTGATGTGGATGAGCAGCTCTCACCACTCTCACCCTTCTCACTGGACAGATGCATAGCAGCGGGAGCCAACGGCTCTCACTGCTGTCAATTAAATTCTGGGACAAAGAAGCGCGGGGCATGGAGAGGCTGAGCTGCACTGTCTGTGTTAATGGACGCAGACAAGGCAGCTGGGGAGTGAGCCCACACAAGTGCCCCAAACATACAAGCATCTTCCTATGGAGCACTCACCAAAGAGGAGCAGCCAGGAACGCCAGTGGGGGAACTCGAGAATAAGAGGACTGGGGCTGCTCTGACCTTTGGAAAACCATTGCACAGAGCAAGTAAGTAGAAAATGTTTATTATGCAAAAAAAGCCGAAGCTTTACTGTTACTTTAAACCAGGCATGTCCAAAGTCCGGCCCGCGGGCCAATTGCGGCCCGCGTTCTGTTTGGTTGAAACGGCCCCACAGGTGAGCTACCCAAATATATAACTTACGGCCCCCGGTAGCGATTCCCTGAAAGCTACCGAGGACTCCAGCGATCTCTTGACATCATCAGCCGCGCAGGAAGGAGAGCCCAAATTATCGCGACGCCCGAGATCTCGTGAGATTTGGGCAACTTTCTTCTCTGTGTGCCGGCTGATGAAGTCAATTCCCGTTCAGCAGATTCCTGGAGTCTTCAGTGGCGTTCGCAGAATCACTAGTGGAGGGCCGTAAGTTATATATTGGGCAGCTCATCTGTGGGGTCCGGAACGTGGGGCCAGGGATCCCAGGTGGTGCGCAGGGAATTACTACTGGGGCTACCATTTACCGTATTTATTCGCTCCATAAGACGCACTTTTTTCCCAAAAAAAAAAGGGGGGGAAATGTCAGTGCGTCTTATGGAGCGAATATAAAGCGGCCGGTTTAGGTATTTCTGCCGCCACCATGTCAGAATACCAGGCCGGGTTCAGCTGTCGTCTCCTGCAGGGCCTTACCTGTTCCTCGCTCCAGCGCTGCACAGTCTTCCCGCGCTGGCTTCTGTGACAGCCGGGTGCCCACTGCGCATGCGCTTCGCTTTGTGAATGGTCATCGCAGTCTGATCATCTGTACTGTGTCCGCAGTCTCTGCTCATCTCCTGTAAAAAAGGCTGTGTCCGCAGTCTCTGGTCATCCCCTGTACTGTGTCCGCAGTCTCTGGTCATCCCCTGTACTGTGTCCGCAGTCTCTGGTCATCCCCTGTACTGTGTCCGCAGTCTCTGGTCATCTCCTGTACTGTGTCCGCAGTCTCTGGTCATCTCCTGTACTGTGTACGCAGTCTCTGGTCATCTCCTGTCACTCCTGTACTGTGTACGCAGTCTCTGGTCATCTCCTGTACTGTGTCCGCAGTCTCTGGTCATCTCCTGTACTGTGTCCTCAGTCTCTGGTCATCTCCTGTACTGTGTCCGCAGTCTCTGGCCATCTCCTGTACTGTGTCCGCAGTCTCTGGCCGTATCCTGTACTATGTCCGCAGTCTCTGGCCGTATCCTGTACTATGTCCGCAGTCTCTGGCCGTCTCCTGTACTATGTCCGCAGTCTCTGGCCGTCTCCTGTACTATGTCCGCAGTCTCTGGCCATCTCCTGTACTAATGTCCGCAGTCTCTGGCCATCTCCTGTACTATGTCCGCGCAGTCTCTGGCCATCTCCTGTACTATGTCCGCAGTCTCTGGCCATCTCCTGTACTATGTCCGCAGTCTCTGGCCATCTCCTGTACTATGTCCGCAGTCTCTGGCCATCTCCTGTACTATGTCCGCAGTCTCTGGCCATCTATTGTACTATGTCCGCAGTCTCTGGCCATCTCCTGTACTATGTGCCGCAGTCTCTGGCCATCTCCTGTACTATGTCCGCAGTCTCTGGCCATCTCCTGTACTATGTCCGCAGTCTCTGGCCATCTCCTGTACGGTGTCCTCAGTCTCTGGTCATCTCCTGTACTATGTCCGCAGTCTCTGGCCATCTCCTGTACTATGTCCGCAGTCTCTGGCCATCTCCTGTACTATGTCCGCAGTCTCTGGCCATCTCCTGTACGGGTCCTCAGTCTCTGGCCATCTCCTGTACTATGTCCGCAGTCTCTGGCCATCTCCTGTACTATGTCCGCAGTCTCTGGCCATCTCCTGTACGTGTCCGCAGTCTCTGGTCATCTCCTGTACTATGTCTGCAGTCCATTGGTTCAGAATTTTTTTTCCCTGTTTTTCGCCTCTAAAACCTAGGTGCGTCTTATGGTCAGGTGCGTCTTATGGAGCAAAAAATACGGTATCAATTTGGGCTATAATGGATTGGTGCTCAGGATCGCTTGACTGTCATCAGACAGTGCAAGGAGAAACAAAGCCCAAATCTTGCGACCTCCGAGATCTCGCGAGATTTGGGCTTTCCTTCTCCCTGTGCTGGCAGAGTGATTTAACACCTGTTTAGATTTGTCATCCAAGTCACAAAATGAAAAGTATGCCGTTTTCAATAAACTTTTGTATAAAATAGTTCATTTGCATTTAATTTTAATGGTACATCAGAATGTCGGGCAAAATAGTCGGCCCTCGCACATGTTTTACTTCATTAAATCTGGCACTCTTCCAAAAAAGTTTGGACACCCCCCTGCTTTAAACAGATGGAACACTCCCACCTTCAGGCTGCAGTGGGGTCTGCAAGACGAAGGCTTAGTTTCTCAAAGTGACACTAAACTCATACAGACCATGGTCGTTTTTTTATTGTTTTTTAGGCCTCTTTCACACTGGTGTTCCATATATCCGTTTTTCATCTGTCCATTTACGGATGAAAAACTGACACCCATGTATTTCTATGGACTTGTGGATGTAAACGGATGATCATCTATTTACATCCGTTAATTTCCACATCCATTAACATCCGTTTTTTTTTAACAGAAAAACGGCTGTTAGTGTATGTCATCCCGCTTATATCCGATCCGCCAATATCCGCTTTTCTGCAAATCTGCATATTTGTTTTGAGTTTTCAATAAAACAATAACCTATGACCCAGGTAATGGTCCCAGAAGGAAGTGACATGCCTGTGAGATCATCGTTGGTGGGGACATGGCTAAAGATGTGTCCCATGAAAGACTCATTAACATGGTCCATATGCCAGGCCAGAATTATTGGACAGTGCCTGCCGTGACTACAGTGATAGGGCCACAAAGAAAAGACTCTGGGAAGAAATTTTTCTTGAAGTCACACCTAACTGGTCATCACTCAAACCAAGGCAGCGTGAAAAACGTGGTAGGTGTCTTGGGGGGGGGGGGGGGGGGGGGGGGGGACAAGTCATCGCACTCCAAAATCACAGGAAGGACACAGAAACGCAAGAAGAACACTGCACTGGAATCACAAAGCGGCATGGAAAGTACAATGCATGCTGGGTTTGAGCAAAGTGTCTTTGAAAATTTCCATGACTCATGAAAAAAAACGGATGAAAAATGGATATAAATGGATTTAAAACGGACCGCAAACAGCTAAAAAAACGTATGAAATTTGATCATAAACAGAGAAAAATGGGTGTCAATGGATATGAAAAAGGAGGTAAAAAGTGCAGTCTTGATTCGTTTAGCTCCGATTTTGAAAAAAAACACAAACAAAAACCACAAACCGCGACTGAACTGATAAAAAAAAGGGAACGCCCTTAGGGTCCTTTCACATGGGTGTTCCATTTTTTTTCTTCAGTTAATTCACGTTATTTCAAAGAAAATCAGATCAGTTTACATCAGTTTTTCGTCCATTTTTTTTTTTTTTTTTTTTTTTTTTAAAACGGAAGAAAAATAGGGTTTTCTTCCGTTCAAAAAAAAGATGTTAACGGATACGGACATTAACAGATGATCATCCGTTTACATCCGCTAGTCCATAGAAATACATGGGTGTCCATTTTTCATCCGCAAACTGACATATGTAACGCCCGTGTGAAACAGGCCTTAAAGTTATTTACCATTGTCTGCAGGGTTTTTTGTTTGTTTTGTGCGCACTCCCTGTCCTCCACTGATGCACTTCAACACTACAATTGTAAAGCAAGCAGTGCCGCTATTTCTAGTCACATGCTGCATTCTACAATTCAATAGAGCCGAGTGTGTCTGCACATAGATGCTTGGTCCATCCTTGAGGGGGGCAAAGCAGGAAAGGGTGGCTATGTTCACATACACAGTGGGGCATGGAGAACAAACATCCTGGAACAGCAGAAAAAAGCTTGCATTTGAGAGATGAGAGAAGGAAAAGAGAGCACTCTAGTGATATTTAGACATATTGCATGTATTTAATTTGATTTAAAAAAAGTGAGTTTAGGGTCACTTTAATGAAGGCCCCAGCCCACATGTGATCGCTATGTTATAGCTGACAGTAATCACATAATTGTAAACCATTCATTGGTTCCTGATTGCCAAAGAGCCAGTACTAATACTAAGACCTGGGAGTGAGAACCAACAGCCACATAGAGTGTCAAATGGTGGCTCTCAAAACGGAGGATATATTTATTAACGTATCCACAACAAAGGCATTATTATACAGATTGTGGAAAGGAATTAACACTCAGCTGAAGTCTCTTTGAGGTCCTGCACGTTTTGCTTTGTGATGGATTTTACATAGAAATACATTTTCTCCCAGAAATGCTGTTTGGTGATCTTGTACTCAAATGGTCTAATCTGGCATGACTAACCACTTGCCCTCCTGAGGATTTACCCTCCTTGACCAGGCCATTTTTTGCATTACAGCACTGCAGTAATTTAACTGACAATTGCGCAGTCATGCAACACTGCACCCAAATTAAATTTACGTCCTTTTTTTCCCACCAATTGAGCTTTATTTCAGTATTTGATCGCCTGTGCATTTTTAATTTTGAGAAAAAGAAAAAAAAAAAAAAACAAAAACCACAATATTTTTTACTTTTTTGCTATTAAAACATGTCCAGTTAAAAAATCTAAATTTCATCATAAATTTAGGCCAAAATGTATTCTGCTAAAAAAAAAAAATTTCCCAATACGTGTAAACTAATTGGTTTATGTGAAAAGTTGTTTACAAATGGCGATATATATACACTGGGATATTTTTACTAGTAATGGCAGCGATTAACGACTTATAGCAGGACTGCGGCGGGCATTCTGACACTAAGGGGGGGGGGGGGGGGGGGGGGGGGGGGGGGGGGGGGGGGGGGGGGGAACTGACTAGGTGTCAATGACATCTCCAGTGACACCAATACAGTGATCAGTGCGAAAAAAAAGCACCGACACTGTACTACTGGCACTGGGCAGGAAGGGGTTAACTGTGTTCGTTTTACTATGTGCTGGGTCCGTGTGCTTCACTGTAAGCACACTGCTTTGCATGGCTGTGCACATCCATGCAAAGCAGTGTGCATGAGCTGACAGGGAGAACTGTTTTGTTTACAAACAGTTTTCCTCCCCATTGGAGATACTCGGCAATCACCGAGTGTCGGCAAGTAATGACCAAGCGGGACCTGGTGATTGACAGCCGCGACCACGAATGGCGGTGCAGGTAGGGCGCGGGCCCCCTACCCGGAAATGCAAAATCACGTATATATACACGTGATTTTGCACACCCATGCCACCCTGTAGCAGTATTTCTGCTATAGGGCAGTCGGGAAGTGGCTAAAGACTTGCATTGCAGAGCAGATGTGGCATGTGTGTTGTGGGATTGCACACTCATATTTCAATACACAACTTCTGTAAAAGAAAACAGAGGTGGTTAGCACAATGCACGACTGCACATACATTTCTTTGAATTTGAACTTAAAAAAAAGGTAAAGAATAATTTTCAGAGTATAATAATCCCCATCAAACAATCAGAAATCCTTTATCACTTAGCCAACTACACTGAACTATTAATCAGTGCAGATGTTGTTTTGTCTCTGTAGATCCCTGGTGCCCAAACTGCAGACATTTGGCACATATTGTGCAACCCTCAGGCTCTCTGAAGAAAGTAATCTGTGTTTAATCCTGGTACACACGATAAGAATATTGGATGAATGATTGTCTTTTTTTTGCATGCTAGTCTCATATCAAAAATGATGAAGAACTTAAAGATACAAAAATTCTTATAGGATAGAATACAAAGTTGGAAGTAATGTATTCTTTCGTTTCCAAGCATTCATGGTGTTGGTCACTTGATTTTTTACGGATGAATACTGTACTCATTAAACAAAAACTGTTTGTTCTGATATCATACAAGAAACGTTTTGTGCTTATCCCTTCGGATAGTTTTACATGAACTGTCATAATTGGCTCTCGAAAGCTGTGTACTAATGATCAGTTATCAAACAATCACTCCAAAAGCAGTATTGTTCGTCCGATTTTCTCATTGTGCGTACTAGGCATTACTCATAGGTCAGGTCAATAAAGGATATTTTTTTTTCTGTACTGTCCATCCTGTTTCTGTTTTCATGTTTTTTTCACCGATCTTTAATAATGGACATTGCTTAAGGGAAATACCAATTGTGGCATGAGAAATTTTTAATCAGTCTACAGAAAGCACAAATCTAGAAGAATTGACTTGTATAGGGCTGTAATAGCAGTGATTTATAACAGTTTTATGGGATATAACTCCAGTCTATGATCATCCTTTGAATCATGTCCCCAGTCTCCAACAGCTCCTGTTGCTTGTCTGCAGACTGCACTTAAGGTCCCCTGCATTAGGAAAGTTGACCATAATCTGCTACAGATTATAGCTACAATAGCTCATGGTGAAAATAAAAGTTACCACTTAAATATCACTTTTTGCCTTCTTAGCAGTCAATGCATGAAGTATATTGTTTGAAATAAGATATATTACTAGAAAATTCAGCACTGAAGTGTAAAGTGAAGGTTAAAAATAAAAAAGACATTACATTTTTAAATGTTTATTCCTGAGATCTATAAGTACTATACAACGTGTCCTTTAAACATTCTAGAGATGCACTTTAGGAATGTATACAGTGTAGCTGTCAGTAATACAAAGTAGCTATGGTTCAATCTGTAGGCTGAACAAGTACACAGCAGGTACAGGTCTTCACCTCCACTGTGTGGTATGAGGGGCAGATAGATATATGCTCGGTTCACACTGCTGCGACTTGGGATCCGACTTGTGAGACCCCAAGTTACTCGAAATGTGAAATCCCATGTTAATCAATGACAGCTGTCTTAATTCGCACTACTGGAGTTGCTACGACTTTAGAAAAGGTTCCTGTACTATTTCATGGTGATTTCTACCCGACTTGTGCCCACAGACTTTAATTGAAGTCACCTCCAAGCTGGATCATCATCTATATTGATGTCATTTGGATCCAACATTAGCATCAAAGTTGTACTCAAGTCGCCAGAAAGTCGCATCATAAGTTGCATGACATTTAGTTCACAGTAGTGTGAACCTAGGTCAGGAAATGTATGTACAATTGAACAAACTGAGCATCTACGGTTTGTTTAATGTGAATTAAAGGAAAACCTGTAATCCCAAGACTAATCTGTAAAAGACCAGTGTTGAATGGGTTTGAGACTGTCTTCGCTGTAACAAAACTCACCATTATCAGGTTTTTGTTACCTGTGTGAAAAATGCTGTGATGTGTTATTCAGCCATAATCCTTGAAGTACTGTCACAGAAAGATGGAAGAATATATTCAGTTTCCACATAAACTGCTACAAATGAGAACCAGTTTTAGTTTTTTTTTTTTTTTTTTTTTTTTACACCTGTCCAATGCCAGCCTGCTTTAAAAAGTAGCAGATGTGGCACTGTACAGAAGATAAAGAGACAAATTAAAGGTATGATCTGGCACCTTACGTTGAACAGTGGCTTTATGTCATCATTGATATTGGCCATATAGATTCACTCTAAAAATTATACATGATTAGTTGCTATGAGCAACAGCTCATAATTTTTGCTTCATTTTAACACGTCACTCCTTTAGTGTTCTGATGAATGCTGGCAGGATTTGGTGCACCATTCATCCTCAAAGGGCCGAGGAAACTTCTGTTATAGGTCCAAGGACAGCCACAGCTTCAATTTCCACTTTCCCTCCCTGATAAAAAAAAAAAAAAGGGAAGGATTGATGTTACAGAATGGCAAGAAATCAGAATAAGTAGAGACTTCCTCTTCTCCCTAAGAAATTTTTTTTTGTATCAACCCCTGTGATGGCTAATACTTCTAGCATACATTTTACATGAAAACATTAATAGACAGTATACTAAGAACTGCTAAGTTTTAGACTATGGAAAAGTGGAGAAAATAAAAAACGGATTAGGGAAGACTTTTTTTTTGTTTTTTTTAAACAGAAAGGCGACCTACTGAAAATTGCAAAACTGCACCTGCAAGTGCTTAGCTTTACTTTCAGAACTTTGCAAAGTATAAATAGACTAATTTGCAGCATGTCCTCAGATCACTTGCCTTAATGGGCAAGTACACTGCATTCCTAAAGTAATCAGACCCCCTTCACTTTTTTCAATTTTGTTTGTTGCAGCCTGATACTACAGATGTTTAAATTCTTTTCTCATTAATCTACACTCAATACCCCATAATAACAAAGTGAAAACAGAATTTTAGAAGTGTCTGAATTTATTTTTTACTACCTATGAGGCTACTACCACCATGCTTCACTGTTGTGATAGTATGGGGCAGGTGATGAGCGCTGCCCTGTTTCCTCCTGACATAATGTTTAGAATTGAGACCAAACAATTCAATCTTGGTTTCATCAGACCAGAGAATCATGTTCCTCACAGTCAGAGTCCTTCAGGTGCTTTTTTCTTTTTTTTTTGCAACTTCCAAGTGGGTTTTCATGTGTTTTGCACCGAGGAGAGGCTTCTGTCTAGCCACTCTGCCAAAAAGTCCAGATCGGTGGAGGGCTGCAGTGACGGTCGTCCTTCTGGAATTTTGTCCCATCTTCACGCAGGATCTCTGGAGCTCATTCCACTGGAATCTTGGTCACTGCTCTTACTAAGGCCCTTCTCCATCAACTGCTCAGTTTGGCTTGGCAACCAGCTCTTCGCAGAGTCCTGGTTGTGGCAAAACTTCTTTCAAGAATTATGGAGGCCACTGTGCTCTAGGGAACCTTCAGTGCAGCAGAACTTTTTGCAGCCTTCTTAGATCTGTGGCTTGCAATAATCTTGTTTCTGAACTCTGCAAGCAGTTTTTTTTTTACTTCTTTGTTTTTGCTCTGCTACAGTATGCATTGCCAGCTGTGAGGATCTTTATAGAGGAGGTGTGTGCTTTTCCAAATCATGTCCAACCAATTTAATTTTACAATCAAGGTGTAGAAACATCTCAGCAACAGTCAAGAGAAATAGGCACCTGAGCCAAGTTTCAAAAGTCTGAATACTTATGCCAATGTGATATTTCAGTTTTTCTTCTTTTCATACATTTGCAAATATTTCTAAAATTCTGTTTTCACTTTATTATAGCGTAGTGAGTGTAGATTAATGAGAAAAAATGGATTTAAACAACTGTAGTATCAGGCTGCAAGCTAACACAATTGAAAAACGTGAAGGGGGTCTGAATACTTTATAAATCTACTGCACGTGCACATCATGGCAGACTTTCCCTCTAGCATTGCCCTTCTCCAGTAAAGCAGACTTCGCACTTCCCCCTCATTGCTCCATGGGCATCATCTTTTCCTGGTCTTCTTCCACATCCAACATCAGCCATTAGGTAGCCATTGATTATGCAATTTATTTTCAGTCAGCTGCAGTTATTGTCCAAAGTTGGGCTCCATGCTCTGTATATGTATAGTTTCTTCTGCCAAAAAGCTCTACCAATAGCATTTTTTGGGTGGCGGGGATAGTTGTTCTCTACATAACGTATAGTCAACAGAGGAAACAGGTAAGGGAAGTGCTAAACTGAAACCTGAATGGTCACAATGGGATATAGCAGTCAATGCACTGGCTTCCTATAAACCAAGCCTAAATACATATGGAATTTGTGAACATAAAAATAGAAGGGTTCTTGTATAATGGTAGACGGGGTTGAGTCTCGTTCCTAATTCATGATGCACTGGGCTGATGCTGCTTGTGGGGTTGCTTCCATGCTTACACAAGAAAACCCGTCAACTTAAAGTAGAACTATACTCACCTTATCTCCAGGGCTACATTGTCTCAGAACTTCCCGCTGACATCTTCTGCTAATCGGCTTCCGGGTATCGATCTTCAGCCATTATCACTGGCTGGGCCAACATGTCATGACTCCTGCGCATGTACAGGAGATCATTCATCTCATCACCGCCAAAATTGTACACGGAGCTGTGTGTACCCAGCTCAGTGCACATGGCGTACAGGCAGGAAACAAACATTAATGCAGAAGAGACATAGGGGGTGATTTACTAAAACTGGAGTACTCAGAATCTGGTGCAGCTGTGCATGATAGCCAATCAGCTTCTAACTTCAGCTTGTTTAATTAAGCTTTGACAAAACCTGGAAGCTGATTAGTTTACATGCAGAACTGCACCAGATTTTACACTCTATAGTTTAGTAAATCTCCCCCAGTTTGTTTTTTTTGCTAAAGTTCCACTTTAAGTGGACATAAACCTTATGTCCATTTGGTGTTGATGCAGAGTACCAATGCATTGTAGGTAGGAGTGCCAATGCATTTACTTCCCTCAACAAAGTTGGACCCCAATGGATAAACAGAAGAAGACTCTGGCCTTCTTTTAACCCTGAACATAGAGGATACTCTAAAGCTTTAGCTATAGCTCCTATCTGGGAATGTGTGATGAGTAAAGTTGTTACTATTCAATTTTTGTTTATTGTCTAAGTGGTACTGGGAAATGCAAGCCGCCGATTCTTGTTGTCCTCTACAGATAGTGCAGTCATCTTTGTTATCATTAAAAAATTTAAATATGGTTCATAGAGTGGAACTCCAGCTAAAGAACTTTTATTCATTACCAGACCTGTCAGGGCTGTATCATGGGTATGTAAAAAAAGTCTACATTCTAATTCCATTAACTTTTAAGCAATTACAGCATGGATACTTATCAGGAATGTTTACAAAAGTCTATGCAGCTTACCCTTGGCAAAGCAACAACCTGGTAGGCAGCTCTTGCTGGGTGATTAGTCTGAAAAACTGGAAAAAACATTTGTAAGAAAAAAAAACAAAAAAAAAACACAAAAAAATTACACATTACAGAAAAAGGTAAGTCATTAATCATCCTCTAAAGCTACAACTGCTACCGATAAGTATGGAATCACCACTTTTGAAAAATGTACATTCAATTATTTCATTGTGTAGAAACAAAACAATCACAGACATGCTTCAAAACTATTTTCATTTAACATTCCAACCTTCTGACTTTAACACTTATTTAAAAAAGTTAAGAAAACTGTAGTCAGTTGCAACTGTTTTTGCAGATCGAACAGAGGAAAAAAATATGGAATCACTCAATCCTGAGGAAAATATGTACTTTGCAGTTCTAAAACAAACATCTGCATCAGCTTACATCTGTCAATTAGTCTGCATTTAAAGAGTGTTTTCACACCTTGGTGAGCTGTTGCACCAAGCTGATTGACATGAATCATGGCTCCCACACAAGAGATCTCAGTTGAATCAAAAGAAGATTATAAAACGTCTTCAAGAAGGTAAATCATCACGGAATGATGCAAAAGATATTGGTTGTTTCCAGTCAGCTGTGTCTAAAATCTGGACGAAGTACAAATCAAATGGGAAGATTGTAAAAAGGAAGCGTACTGGTAGACCAAGGAAGACATCAAAGCGTCAAGATAGAAAAACTTAAAAGCAATATGCCTTGAAAACATAAAATGCACAACAAAACAAATGAGGAACAAATGGGCAGAAACTGGAGTCAAGGGCTGTGACCGAACTATAAGAGATCGCCTAAAGGAAGTGGGATTTACATACAGAAGAGCCAAAAGAAAACCATCATTAACACCTAGACAGAAAACAACAAGGTTACAGTGGGCTAAAGAAAAGCTCACTGTAAAGATAAAAGTTCTTTGACTGAAGTTCCACTCTATCATCAACAGTATTGACCAATTGCCATCTGGCCGCTGTATACAAACGGCCAGACGGTGGCAGTGCAGGGGCGGGTTGCCGTTCATAAATGGCGCTCGCCATTTTGGACTGTGCGCACTCCCTGGGAGCGTGCAGCACCGCGCTTCGGTGTCCACTGTGTCCGGAGATCGTCGTACGGGACCTCTGTGCGAGGTCCCGATCATGTGATCACTGATTGGCCAATCAATGATCACATGCAGAGTAGTAAGCAAGATGTCACTTCTGACATCATTGCTTACTATGTGTGAAATCTGTGAATGATCACAGAGATCACATGGTACAAGGCTATTCACAACAGCCTTGTACTATGTGACAAGCTGTGACCAATCACAGCTCTTACAGTATTTCTCAATAGCTGCAAGAATGCAGCCAGAGAGAAGGAAAAATTATTGCTTTTACACCCATAAAGGCTGTAAAAGCAATCAGTGTTAAAAAAAAAAAAAAAAAAAAAAAAAAAAATCATCACCCCCCCCACAAGTAGTTCAGTGTCACCATGGTACTAGGGTGACAGTATGTAAAAAAATAAATAAATAATAAAAATGTAAAAAAAAAAATTTTTTAATTATAATTTTTGGTTATAAACTAATTTGGGTTATTTTTTTTTTCACTAAAAAGATAACTGAATACATTTTGGACAAGATTTATGATGAAATATTTATTTGCAATATATAAGAAAAACACTTTTTTTTAATTTTTGGACTTTCATTTATATAGCAAAAAAAAGAAAAAAATTAAAAATCCCAGTGGTGAATAAATACCACCAAAATAAAGCTTTATCTGTCTCAAAAAAATTCATATTGGTACAGTGTTGCATGACTGGTCAATTGTCAAAGTGTGATAGCGCTGAAAGCTGAAAATTGGCCTGGACAGGAAGGGGGTGAAAGTGTCCAGACTTGAAGTGGTTAACTTGAAACCAGATTTAAATTTTTTAATGATAACAAAGATGACTGCACTACATGGATGACTGGATGACAGTGATATTAAGTGATGAATCACGAATCTGCATTCGGCAGGGTGATGATGCTGGAACTTTTTTTTTTTATGCCATTCCAATGAAATGTATAAAGATGGCTGTCTAAAGAAAACATGCAAATTTCTACAATCATTGATGATATGAGGTTGTATGTCAGGTAAAGGTACGGGGGAGATGGTGGCCATTAAATCAATAAATGCACACGTTTATTTTGAGATTTTGGACACTTTTCTTATTCCATCAATTGAAAGGATGTTTGGTGATGACGTCATTTTTCAGGATGATAATGCATCTTGCCATAGGGAAAAAGCTGTGAAAACATTCCTTCAAGAAAGACATATAATGTCAATGGCATGGCCTGCAAATAGTCCGACCTCAATCCAATTGAAAATCTATGGTGGACATTAAAGAAAATGGTCCATGACAAGGCTCCAACCTGCAAAGCTGATCTGGCAACTGATGACGAATACGGTTTGTCGATAGTTAAATCCATGCCTCAGAGAATTCAAGTTGTTATAAAAGCAGGCAGAGCAACAAAGTACCAGTGGTGCACTGCAGAGGTTTTATTTTTCAGGATTCCATAATATTTTCCTTAGAATTTAGTGATTCCATATTTTTTTTCCCTCTGCTTGATCTGCAAAAAAACAGTTGCAACTGACTACAGCTTTCTTTTATTTTTTTAAGTGTTTCTTAAAGCCAAAAGGCTGGAATGTTACATGAAAATAGTTTTGAGGAATGTCTGTGATTCATTTTTTTTTCTATACAATTAAATTAATATTTTCCAAGAGTGGTGATTCCATACTTTTTGCCAGGGGTTGTACATAAACTACAAATGACGACAAGGCAGGAAGGAAGGAAGGAAAGAAGGAAGGAAGGAAAGAAGGAAGGAAAGAAGGAAGGAAAGAAGGAAGGAAAGAAGGAAGGAAAGAAGGAAGGAAAGAAGGAAGGAAAGAAGGAAGGAAGGAAAGAAGGAAGGAGGAAGAAGAAGGAAGGAAAGAAGGAAGGAAAGAAGGAAGGAAAGAAGGAAAGAAGGAAAGAAGGAAGGAAAGAAGGAAGGAAGGAAGGAAGGAAAGAAGGAAAAGGAAGGAAAAAGAAGGAAAGAAGGAAAGAAGGAAGGAAGGAAAGAAGGAAAGAAGGAAGGAAGGAAAGAAGGAAGGAAAGAAGGAAGGAAAGAAGGAAGGAAAGAAGGAAAAAAGGAAGGAAAGAAGGAAGAAGGAAGGAAGAAGGAAAAAAAGGAAGGAAAGAAGGAAGGAAAGAAGGAAGGAAAGAAGGAAGGAAAGAAGGAAAAAAGGAAGGAAAGAAGGAAGGAAAGAAAAGGAAGGAAAGAAAGGAAGGAAAGAAAGGAAAGAAAGGAAAGAAGGAAGGAAGGAAAGAAGGAAGGAAGAAAGGAAGGAAGGAAAGAAGGAAGGAAGAAGGAAGGAAAAGAAGGAAGAAGGAAGGAAGGAAAAAGGAAGGAAGGAAGGAAGGAAAGAAGGAAGGAAAGAAGGAAGGAAAAAAGAAGGAAAAGGAAGGAAAGAAAGGAAGGAAGGAAGGAAGGAAAGAAAGGAAGGAAGAAGGAAGGAAGGAAAGGAAGGAAGGAAGGAAAGGAAGGAAAAGGAAAGGAAGGAAAGGAAGGAAGGAAAGAAGGAAGAAAGAAGAAAGAAGGAAGGAAGGAAAGAAGGAAAGGAAGGAAGGAAAGGAAGAAAGAAAGAAAAAAGAAGGAAGGAAAGAAGGAAAGAAGGAAGGAAGAAAGAAGAAGGAAGGAAGGAAGGAAAGAAAGGAAGGAAGAAAGGAAAGAAGGAAAGGAAGAAAGGAAGGAAAGAAGGAAGGAAAGAAAGGAAGGAAAGAAAGGAAGGAAAGAAGGAAGGAAGGAAAGAAAGGGAAAGAAAGGAAGGAAGAAGGAAGGAAGGAAGGAAGGAAGGAAGAAGAAGGAAGAAAGAAGGAAGAAGAAGGAAGGAAAGAAGAAAAGAAAGAAGCAGTAAGGAAAGAAGGAAGGAAAGAAGGAAAGGAAAGAAGGAAGGAAAGAAGGAAAGGAAGAAGGAAAGAAGGAAAGGAAGAAGGAAAGAAAGAAGGAAGAAGGAAAGAAAGAAGGAAGAAGGAAAGAAAGAAGAAAGAAGGAAAGAAAGAAGGAAAGAAGGAAGAAGGAAAGAGAAGCAGTATGTTCTGGATCTGCAGTTCTGATTCAATTGATAGCATGCCTGTTCCAGTTCAAAAAAACTGAAAGTAAAAGCTTGAGGATATGCATGACAGCAAGGCAACCAATATTAAAAAAAAAAAAAAAAAAAAAAAAAGGTGACCTTTACTGAAAATTATTCAAGTATTTCAATGTTATGGGGGGGGGGGGGGCAGTAAAAGACAGTCATGAAGTATAGAGAGCTATGCTCATCAATTATTGAAAGATTTTGTATGGAAAGAATTAATCAGATTGAACTGGGTTTTGGTATTTTCCTGACAGCATGCTTTACAGACTTCTGATCTGTTCCAGTCTGTGCTGCCTATTCCGGTTCTGAATACACTGCACAGACTTTCCCTCCTCATGAACTTTTGTGCGTAGACCTATTGCATTTATGATACAGTGATACTGGGGACTGTTTACAGTTACCTGACATACCTAAGAACTAGTAAAAGATTCTACTTGGCACTTAAAGTGATACTAAAGCTTAAATTTTTTTTAAAAATAAACATGTAATACTTACCTGCTTTGTGCAGTAGTTTTGCACACAGCTGCCCCGATCCTTTTTTCGGGCTCTGGCTCCTCCCCTTGAGCAGTGCCCCCCAGAGAAAGCTGCTTGCCCTGGGGAACTGCTGCATGCATGCTCGCTCCTGAGTCACTGCTCTATGTCCATAAAAAAATCAGCCCTGCCTCCCCCTCAACTCTCTCCTCATTGGCTCACTGGCTGTGATTGACAGCAGCAAGAGCCAATGGGCTCCTGCTGCTGTCTCAGCCAAGGGAGGGAGGGAGAGTCCCCATACAGCTGAAACTATTGTGAACACCGCTGAATTGGAGGGGGCTCAGGTAGAGATTGGGGGGGGGCTTGAGTGGCCGCTGCACACAGAGGGTTGTTTACCTTCATGCAAAGAATGCATGAAGGTAAAAAACCTTGAGCCTTTAGAACCACTTTAAAAGTAAAGTGTTGCAGTACAGGTACACTTTAACCACTTCCAGACCGGACACTTTCACCCCCCCCCTTCCTGACCAGGACAATTTTCAGCTTTTAGCGCTATCACACTTTGAATGACAATTGCGCGGTCATGCAACACTGTACCCAAATGAATTTTTTACCATTTTTTTGAGACAGATAAAGCTTTATTTTGGTGGTATTTATTCACCACTGGGATTTGTATTTTTTTTTTGCTATGTAAATGAAATGTCCAAAAATTTTGAAAAAAAAGTGTTTTTTTTTTATAAAATTTTGCAAATAAATAATATTTCATCATAAATCTTAGCCAAAATGTATTCCGTTATCTTTTTAGTAAAAAAAAAAAAAAAATCCAAATTAGTTTATAAGCAAAAATTATAATTTTAAACATTTTTTTTTACATTTTTATCTTTTTTTTTTACATACTGTCACCCTAGCAGTACAGTGTCACCATGGTGACACTGTACTACTTGTGGGGGGTGATGAAGATTTTTTTTTTTTTTTTTTTTTTTTTTTACACTGATTGCTTTTACACCCATATAGGATGTAAAAGCAATCATTTCTCTTTCTCTCTGTGTGCATTCTTGCACTCATTGAGAAGTACTGAGTGAGCTGTGATTGGTCACAGCTTGTCACATGGTACAAGGCTTTTGTGAATAGCCTTGTACCATGTGACCTCTGTGATCATTCACAGATTTCACACGTAGTAAGCAATGATGTCAGAAGTGACATCTTGCTTACTACTTTGCATGTGATCACTGATTGGCCAATCAGTGATCACATGATCGGGACCTCGTACAGAGGTCCCGTCCGACGATTGGGGTTTCACTGTGTCCGGAGGACACAGCGGGCACCGGATCGCGGTGCTGCGTGCTCCCAGGGAGCGCGCACAAGCAGGGTGCGGGGAGGCCGTTTATAGACGGCCACCCGACCCTGCAGTGCCACCGTCCAGCCGTTTATATACAACGGCCGGATGGGAGGTGGTTAATACAGAACATCTAGATACGTTTGCTGTGCAACATCAACTGTACTGCAAGTACTTACACTGCTTGTAAACGTCATTGACATCATTGAAATCATTGATGTCAGCCAATAAAACGGTTGTTTTTACAACTGAAACAAAAGAAAGATAAAAAAAGGTTAATTAATCTTATATTCCAAAATGATTGAGGCATTAGTCTCCAGCATTAGTGTTTTCTCTACCAAGAAGAGTTTTCAAAACTGTAAAAACTAACAAGGAACCTTTCACATAAAATACGCAACTCCTGTGCCTCCACCCACCTTTACTAATAAATCAGTTTAAGAGTGATGAAGAAAGTGTTAGTGGTCGTATGTGTCAGGATTTATTTTTAGTTTTTTTTTATTACAGGTACCTAACAGCACTTTACATATACATTGCACATTCACATCAGTCCCTGCCCTCATAGAGCTTACATTCTAAGGTCCCCAAATCACATTCTTACATACATATACTAGGGCCAATTAACCTACCAGCATGTCTTTGGAGTGTGGGAAATAACCAGAGTCCTCAGAGGAAACTCATGCAAGCACAGGGAAAACATGCAAACTCCAGGCAGGTAGTGCCGAGATGAATGTATCTTGCTACCCTTCCTGCAAATGTGCTCAATATCTAGGAAAGCAGTAAGAGAAAAAAAAAAAACTTTTCTAACCTTTTCGGCTGCCAAAAACACAGACAAGCAGCTTTAGTTAATTAAAAAGCTTTTTAATAAAAAAGTTGGGTGTGCAGACCCCGTATCACCTCATTTAGATTTACAAACAACCATGCAGTGTGAGATCTGACTGAGCGGATACAAAATTTAAGGATAAGGAAAAAAATAAATGCACATCTTTCTGCAGGTAAAAAAAAAAAAGAAAAAAAAAAAAAAAGAAAGAAGAAGTGCATTAATTTATTTATTAGGCACCTACCTATAAAGCAGTCCACCTGCAATCAGCAGATCACAGGTGCAATGCAGGGCTACTGCAGACTGTCAATGTAAGCTGTCTGCTCGTACCTCGTACAGGCAAGGTAGTTACACATTGACAGGAACCATCAGTGAACTACATAGAGCACACATGCGCTCTGCTAGTTCGCTGAACTACAAGTCAACAGCTGCAAAGGCTGACAGTAGTTTTAGTGTTCCCCTGCACAGAACTCTGTAAATGAATGACGTGTCCGGGAGGGCAGAGTCTCACATGGCCATGGTTATATTTTTAAACTGTGACAGGGAGTTCAGGGAGAAGATCCCCCGCTCGCTGTCAGTACAAGCATCGGATGGGGGAGAGGCTATGTGTTTAGAATGAAAGACACCTGTTAAGGAAACACTCATTTCAATTTTATAAAACGAAAAGAATCAGCAGAACAAAGCATTCAGGTGTGTGGGGGACTGTGGGGAAATAAAAATGACAAGTGCCAAGTTGCACTTAAAAGTGGAATTATGGGCAAAATGAAATCTTACACATATAATACAGTCTGTCAATAGCATTAAAGTGTTTGTTAAGGGATTTTTTAATGTAACAAACATGGTTCAATGGTTTTGAACAGAGCAGCCCCAATCCTCCTCTTCTGCGGTCCCCTGCCGGTGCTCCTGGCTGCTGAATGCCTCCATATCAAGCCGCTTGCTGTAGGGGTACTCATGTGGGTTCGATCCCAACACATGCTGTGCATGTCCATTGAAACACACTGACACACATACACTGACACACAGCATGGGTTAACCCTACTCCCTTATAGGCTGTGATGGACAGCAGCAGCAGCCAAGAGCTCCCATTGCCACCTCCATGGCCAATGAGGAGAGAGGCTGCTCTTGGGCACAGCTTTGGATCGAGATCTGGCTCAGGTAGGTATGTATAAAGGAGGGGGGGATGTTGGGGGATGCACACAGTAGGTTTTTGTTTACCTTAATGCACATAATGCATTAAGGCAAAAAACCTTCTGCCTTTAGAACCACTTCAACACAGCTGTTTTTGTTTTTCCGAGTTCTCTTTAGCACTTTTATTTCCTGTTGATCCCGCCAGTGTATCTGACATTTTTCTACTTCCTGTAATAAGACAAGCTGTCCAGCAAAACTGGCAGTTAGAGGGTTGCGTAAAACCATATAATACTTTGGAAAATATTTGCAATGGTCAGCTTTTATTTATATGACGTATGGCTTTTTCACACCTGTAGTTGGGCTCAGACAGTGGATTCCTGCGGGAAAAAAAAAAATCAGCAAATTCCTTCAACTGGAATGACAGATGTATGTGAACAGCTTCAACCATTCAGCTTGTACAAAACGGTAACTAGCTAACAGGAGCCGCAACTGTTCGTAAGTATCTGCACATTCAGTGGTCACCTACTGTTAGGGAGTGATAACTGGTTCTGGATCCAATCTGCTGGCATACAGGACTGATCATCCACAGGTAATCGTTCGATGTGCAGATACATGTGGACAGCAGTGGAGAACAGCGGCTCCTTTCAGCCTGTCATTGCTTTGTGCGTTTGAACAGCTACAGCTTTTCACATACACTTTTGATTCGGGCTGCAGGAGTCTGATGGTTCTTGTTATGAGTTTTGCACTGTCCACTACTATTTGTACATCAACAAGACAAAAAGGCAAAGACATTACATACCATTACTGTAATCACATCCTGCTGCCTTAAGGATCTCTCCCATATTTATCAAAGCCTAGGTGGGAAAAAAAAAAAAAAAAAAAAAATGTACATATGGTCACTGAACTGTACATACAGCTTATTACCAGCATGTTCTGCCTGTGAAGCCACCTGTCAGCATCATAAACGTACCAAAGTCTAGAACTACAATGCAAGTACCTAGCAGTTCCTGCACTTCATATTACATGCAGTCTTCAGCATCCCAGGAGCCCCAAATGCAGAGGTGCTACAGCAAGCACATTTCAACACTTGATGACATTAGTGCAGCTTTCTGCATTTATACACTAAGTGCAGGGGACTGTGCTCAGGAGGCGGGGCCATGACATTCTGCATTCATTGTCTTCTGGGCTCAGAGACATCACTGAACTCAAAAGACTGAGGACATCTTGTGGTCAAGAAGAGGAACCACACAGGACAGCCGTTTTCCACTGTCTGGGAGACATTTGAAAACATTAGCCTGAAGTTAGCCTTTAAGTTGGACAGACCATGATTTGTATTACTGCATACTCTGATCTGACTACCAATGCATTTAATGTCATCAAAGAAAATGGGGAAATAATTTACCTGCTTTGCCTCACTCTTCACTCCTCCAGACACAAGCTGTCCACTTGCTGGGTCCATGCCAAGCTGACCCGACACGTACATGGTTTTATCCACCACCACAGCCTGACTGAGAAGAAAAAGCAGAAAACACATTAATAATCAGCTTTATCCCTGTATGTTCAATTTGTTTAAAATGAGAAACATTCATCCCATTCTGTGATTCTCTATGCAATAGAAGCAGATCATGGCCAATGGAAGGAGCAGACAGGTTTGTGTACATAGCTTCCCAAAAACCATTACAGACCCTTACCCCAGTATTCCTCTCAAGAGCCCTCAGTCCTGATGCAAACAGCTGGTTGACTCTTGGCAGGGGTTTTGTAAATATCAAGCTGCCTTGATGGGTGGGTGTCAGTCAGGAGCGAGTTCCTAGGCAGACTGTATTCGCATGCAGACAGCCCTAGAAAACGCCTATCTGTGATGCTGAGCATTTATGAAAAATCCAATACCGAATGAATGAAAGGGGTGGGAAAGGGACTGTTCAGGTGTGGGGAAGATGCAAGTTCAAGATGATGCTGGACGTCCTCCAGAGCGGAAATGAAGCAGAATTTTTCGAAATTGCTGCAGCTTCTAATGCATGCTGTGAGAAGCTCACAGTGTGCCGTGAAATCAGAGTAAGCCATTACAGTAGAGGAGAGCAGCTGGTACAACTGTACAGGACTAAAAGGATCATTTATTTAATGAATGTGGAAATATATTTTTGGGAGGAACAGAGCCTGGCCACATGACCTGTCAGGTTCACATGTCTAAGCTTTCCCCCTATCATGGAGCGTTCTCAGCGATGTTATGCTGAGAACATTCGGAGATTCACCTGCAGCGGAGATCAGGATCCAGATTCTATTATAAATAGCCCCCTAAGTGTCTGCAGTGAGGCTGGAGAAAACCAATTATATTATTATTATACGTATTTATATAGCGCCAAAAGGTTTGCTCAGCGCTGTACATTATAGTGGGGGACAGTACAGTTATTTATTTATTTCAGGTACTTATATAGCGCCGTCAATTTACGCAGCGCTTTACATATATATTGTACATTCACATCAGTCCCTAACCCTCAAGGGGCGTACAATCTAAGGTCCCTAATTCACATTCATACATACACATACTAGGGCCAATTTAGACAGGATCCAATTAACCTACCAGCATGTCTTTGGAGTGTGGGAGGAAACCAGAGTACCCGGAGGAAACCCACGCAAGCACAGGGAGAACATGCAAACTCCATGCAGGAGGTGCCATGGTCGGGAATTGAACCCATGACCCATTTACTGCAAGGCAGACGTGCTAACCACTAAGCCACTGTGCCACCCATACATGAGACAATACAGTAATGATGAGTACATGAGACAATACAGTAACAACACAATACACGAGGGGTTCGAGGGCCCTGCTCTTTCGAACTTACAATCTAGGAGGGATTCCTTCTATCAGCTTCCCAGAGAAGATCATGGAAGTGGATTGGTTGCTGTGAGCGGTACCCTCAATTCTGTCACTTGCATCACAGGTGGGAAATGAAAGGAAGAATACCTTAGATTGTACACCCTTTGAGGGTTAGGGACTGATGTGAATGTACAATATATATGTGAAGTGCTGTGTAAATGGATGGCGCTATATAAGTACCTGAAATAAATAAAATAAATCGGACACGTTATTACTAGAAGTGAAACTTTCCTTTCACACCTAAAGGATCCACCTTAGATAAGGTTTACAATTCATGCAATATAACAGCCGAGTATAGCAGAGATCTCTCCATGTGATATTTTACAGTCTTCATAGTCATACACCACAATGATTATGGGGGGCACATGTAGGTCTGCTAGACACAGTATATCAAACATTAGCAGTGACAACAGAAGCAGCTTGTAAACCAAGTACAAGGGCAGTGGGGAGGGTGGGGGGACATTGCACTGCTTGGGGCTTATTGGCCAGAAAAGGACAACTCCTCCTGGGTTTTTGCAGACTCATTTAGCCACAGGTCAAGGGTCATCCAGCCACTTGCTGACAGGGAGAATTTTCTGACTGCCTCCTACAAGTTCAACTGCTCTTTCTTTTCTGGATAACTAAAAGAAAAAAAAAAAAAAAAACTAACCCATGCAGTAACCCATTACCTTTTACCTATTGGTATTATATGTAGCTGAATGACGCGAGTGGTTAAAACCGGTAAAAGATACGATCATTAATCCTACCAGAAATCTTACATCCTAAACAGAATGTTATCTGTATAACAAGATCATCAAATCACTGAGGCTTGCAGTACCGCTTGTCATTATGTATACAACAAATGCTTAGTACAGCACATTCAGTTGACAAGCTTCAATCAAGTAATAAAAAAAATAAAAAAATAAATATATCAGTGACTTAAGCTTGAACCGAAAATCTACATGGCGCTGGATGTAAGTGAATGCTTCTGCTTCTATTCTATCCTTAGTGACTGGTAAATGGGGTATTAGTACAGTTAAAGTGATATTAACGGGTTTTTTTTTTTGTTTTTTTTTTTTTAAATAACAAACATGTCATACTTACCTACTCTGTGCAGTGGTTTTGCACAGAGCAGCCCTCTTCTCGGGTCCCCCTCCAGCGCTCCAGTCCCCACCCTCCTGCCTAGTACAAGCAGCTTGCTATGGGGGCATCTGAGCAGGCTTGCTCCCAAGCCGCTGCTGTGTGTACACACACACACACACAAACACACAGCTCAGCTCTGCCCTATTCCCTCCTCATTGGCTCACTGGCTGTGACTGACAGCAGTGGGAGCCAATGGCTACCGCTGCTGTCTCATCCAATGAGGAGGGAATGACCCATCAGAGCCAATGCTCTCGTGTACATCTCTGGATCAAGACGGGGCTCAGGTAAGTTTTACGGGGGAATGGGAGGGCTGCTGCACAGTTTTTTTGTTTTTTTTTTTTTACTTTCATGCATGCAATTGCTACTTCCACACAGACAGCAGGCTGTGGCTAATTATTAAGGTAAAACGGTACAAATTATTTTTTTTTAGCACATGGAATGTACAGTATTTAAAAAAGTGAGCTTTAGAGTGATTGTAAAGCTTTTTTTTTTGTTTTATAAAAATGTCATACTTGCCTGCTCTGTGCAAAGAAATTGCACAGAGCGACCCCAATCCCCCTCTTCTTCCCTGCCAGTGTGCTTGGCTCCTTCTCTTCTCAGTGTGCCATCATAGGAATCCACTTCCAATTGTGGCACTCTTTTCAGCTCAATCCTGAGCCACGCTGCCTGCTTCTGCTGATAGAAATAACATGGCTCGATCCCTCCCCCATTACAAGATTTGAGTGACAGCAGTGGAAGCCAATGACTTCTAGCTGCCTCGGCAAAGCCTGTGAAAGCGAGGAGAGCAACTACAGATGGGCACAGTGATGGATCGAGTGATGGCTCAGGTAAGTATATGGGGGGTGATGTGATTTTCTTCAGGGTAAAAAAATGTTTAGGTTTTAGAACCACGTTAAATCAGTGCAAATAAAAATTGTAAAAAAACAGAAATCTGTGTACATTACACTTTTATATTACATAATAAAATATATTTCTACAAACATGGGGAATGTACAGCCCTTCAGCTACAGCAAAACTGTAATTTCCTGCATGACACAACAAAGATCGGCTAAGCATGTTAGACCTTTTAGTTCCCTGTCCACTGTCAAAAAGCTAGACAGGAGAACAGCGAATAAGTATTTTAATATTGATTGCTGACTCAAACACCACACTAAAATACTGCAATGAAGCAATCCTTCTCAATGAGTAGCAGCGATTTCCTGATAAAAGGTGAGAAGCATTCTAACCTGTAGATATCGCGCCTTGCAGGGGCTCTGGTTGTATAGATTATGCTTCTCAGTGTAGCCGACATTCTTCGGGAGCTGGAACCTGCCTGTATACCCTCAGCCTGTAGCTCCGGGGCAAGATCTAACCTTTGATTCTTATTGACATAAAATTCAGCCAGTCAAAGGGCTGTAGGTGTTACCTCAGTCCCTTTGCAACTGGTGCCTAGTATTATTCTGTTTAAAGGATAAGTTCACCTTCTAAGAAAAAAAAAAAAAATGTGCATTTATTTTTTTTTTTTTTTACTAGCAGACTAAAAAGCATTGCACCCACAATCAGCAGATTGTGAGTGCCATGCAGGACTACTGCAGACCTGTCAGTGTACTCATACCTCATACGGGCAGACAGATACACACCAACAAGAAGAAATGATGAACTAACACAGAGCTCAACAGCAGAGTGCTAGTTAATTGAGAACTACAAGCCCACAGCCGCAAAGGCTATCAAAACTTGAATCAAAATTTTGCGAATGAAGCAGCTGGGCTTTTTTTATATATATCTTGTGAGATAACCACAGGTGTGTTTTAATCAATTGAACATCTATTTTATAACAAAACATTATCTTTAGAACATTAAGTATTACATAACTGCAGGTAATCATTAACACGGAACGAAATCTGAAAATGAAAAATGAAAATATGCAACATCTCTGGGACCCCACCAGGTGGAGGACATCACACCAGATCCCGCAGGATGACACCACACTTGTCTAGAGATCAGAGGAGGAATCCGAGGAAAAAGCAAGCCTGCTATCCAACTCTTAGGGCTTGTTCACACTTGACTGCCTGTCTAACGCTATAGGGGCATTTGGGAAGAAGTTTACAAGTGTTAAAAACGCTCCCCAAATGCCCTATGTGCGGTTTTGAAGTGTTTTACAAGCATTAAAACCGCACAACAAATGCCTATAATGAACTTAAAGGAATTAACACCTCGCAAACACCCCGCAAATGCCTGCCAAGCGTTTGAGGAGAGTCACCATAGACTTGAATGGGAGGCGTTGAAAGGCTTCAACTCCTCCTGACTCAACATGAGGCGTCAATTTTGTTGTGGCGCGATGCTAACGCTTCAGTGTGAACAGCCTCTGTGCTTTCAACGGTAGCGTGAACTGAGCCATACATCTATAATGTGTCTGCTGCAATGACATAAGGGGTGGCAGGAGAAACCACAACTGTCACACACCACCAACCCGAGAATGGAATATTCTTCTTCTTTTACAGAGTGCTAGTGGATGCACTCTCTCTGCTTGGT